CTTTCAAAGCTGTGCCAGGGGGGTGCTGGTTCCCAGACAAACTCATTCTAGAATATTTCTACCAGATGACGGCTAATGGGTTTTTTCTTACGAGTCTAATCGCACAAGGTGCTGAGCACTGTGAATTCCTATGGAAGTAAGTGGGAGCTAAAATGCTCATCACTATGGGGATTAGGCCCCAAGGGCTCTCTCTTTCTAGGCCCTCTGCATAGGGCATGGCCTGACATCCTGCCATGTCTCCCACCTGGCTTCGGTGGACCTGGCTCGTTTAAGGTTTTGTAATTCTCCTACCCCACGTTTGGTGAGTTGAGGGAAAGCAAAGAAATTCCCCTCTCTCTACTTCATAGTACCCTGACTCCTGGGTCGATTCTTTATCTACTAGGCAACACTGCCTTCCCTATGCACTTCCAAGGTACTTCCCACATATGCTCCCAGCCCCCTTATGAAGCAGGGAAAAGGGAATCTTAGACCCACTTCCCAGATGGCGAAACGCAAAGCATAGCGGGAGGATGAGGTTTGGGAAGACCAAGCAGTCAGTCAACGGGAGAGCTGGGAATGGAACGTAGGAGTCCTGATTTACAGCCCTGGGCACAGTCCAGTGGGACACGCTGCCTTCCCTCCTCCGCCTCCTCCTCCTCACTTGCCACCCCCAACCAATGTGATGCGACAAAGAGGAAGATATGCTGATGTACCCACAGCAAGCCGCACAGTGACTCCTCCTCGAGAGGAGACAAGATGCAGATTTCTCATCTGCCAGTTTATCATTTCCAGGTGATACTTCGCACTGTAGCGAGAGGGGAAAAAGGCTGAGTGGGTGTTTTGCATGTGAGTCGGTTGTGCATCGAAACTGCAACCCACTTGGCTATGATATCGTATCTCCAGGCACGATTTCTGATTCTTCACCATAGTTCACGGGTACAGCCACGCAAAGGCTCCTGGCATTGTTCTGTTCCTACATTTCCCTAGCGTCTTTCACCCCACCCCATCCCGTAGCAGAGGGCTCACCTGGTCAGCTCCTGAGGTACAGCCCCTCCCGGGATGGAACAGGGGCAGCTGTTTCACAGAACACAGCTATATAGGGCAGGAAGTAAATAACTCACCTACTTGAAATGGCAGGAAGAAAATAAATAGGCAAAAGGCTGACCTGGAATTTTGCTAAAACAGAGTTCGCGCTCTTACTTTTGCCAATAGCAACTTGGGTTGTTTAATGGTCACCAACCCCGCTTGACATTTGTTTGCATGTGGGCCCTTCAACTCTTTACCCCTAATATCGTCTTTGGAATGAATGTCCTCGCTTCCCCATGTATCCCAGCATGTATGCAACATGTGTCCCTTTCAGTCCTGTGCATTTTGTTGCTGTTCACTGAAAGCTGCCAGCCTTTGTGTGGGCCTAGGCCAGCGAAACGTTTGTTGGTCACATCATCTTTCCAGCTCACTGCAGGCTACCATGCAGGAGAGAAACCCAAAAATGAAACCCTGTTGGTAAAAGGCATCTTCCTACAACCTGCACATGAAGGTCCCTAGTCTCCTGTCCAGATGTGCATCCCAACCCAGGATCCAGGTACATCTCTTATCCAGACATACAGCCTCCTCCATGCCCTGGACATGTACCCTCCCATCTAGTCCAGCTGTGAACCCTCTCCCATGCCCTGGCCAAGTGCCCCCCGTCCAGATGTGTATCCTCTCCCATGCCCTGTCCACGTGCCCCCCAGTACAGATGTGCATCCTCTCCTATGCCCTGGCCACGTGCTCCCCCGCCCAGATGTGCATCCTCTCCCATGCCCTGGCCACGTGCCCCCCGTCCAAATGTGCGTCCTCTCCCATGCCCTGCCCACGTGCCCCCAGTCCAGATGTGCATCCTCTCCCATGCCCTGGCCACGTGCCCCCCGCCCAGATGTGCATCCTCTCCCATGCCCTGCCCACGTGCCCCCCGCCCAGATGTGCATCCTCTCCCATGCCCTGCCCACGTGCCCCCCGCCCAGATGTGCATCCTCTCCCATGCCCTGCCCACGTGCCCCCCGCCCAGATGTGCATCCTCTCCCATGCCCTGCCCACGTGCCCCCCGCCCAGATGTGCATCCTCTCCCATGCCCTGCCCACGTGCCCCCCGCCCAGATGTGCATCCTCTCCCATGCCCTGCCCACGTGCCCCCCGCCCAGATGTGCATCCTCTCCCATGCCCTGCCCACGTGCCCCCCGCCCAGATGTGCATCCTCTCCCATGCCCTGCCCACGTGCCCCCCGCCCAGATGTGCATCCTCTCCCATGCCCTGCCCACGTGCCCCCCGCCCAGATGTGCATCCTCTCCCATGCCCTGCCCACGTGCCCCCCGCCCAGATGTGCATCCTCTCCCATGCCCTGCCCACGTGCCCCCCGCCCAGATGTGCATCCTCTCCCATGCCCTGCCCACGTGCCCCCCGCCCAGATGTGCATCCTCTCCCATGCCCTGCCCACGTGCCCCCCGCCCAGATGTGCATCCTCTCCCATGCCCTGCCCACGTGCCCCCCGCCCAGATGTGCATCCTCTCCCATGCCCTGCCCACGTGCCCCCCGCCCAGATGTGCATCCTCTCCCATGCCCTGCCCACGTGCCCCCCGCCCAGATGTGCATCCTCTCCCATGCCCTGCCCACGTGCCCCCCGCCCAGATGTGCATCCTCTCCCATGCCCTGCCCACGTGCCCCCCGCCCAGATGTGCATCCTCTCCCATGCCCTGCCCACGTGCCCCCCGCCCAGATGTGCATCCTCTCCCATGCCCTGCCCACGTGCCCCCCGCCCAGATGTGCATCCTCTCCCATGCCCTGCCCCCGCAGCT